TTTATCCCTCTTACTGGGGTATATCCTTCAGAGTTTAGGTGTGCGAGTGAAAAACTCCATTTTTGTCGCTTTCTTTAACAGTTTAATGTGAATATCCTTCTAATCATTTCCCAAATCAAGAACCAGAAATTTGTCAGCCACGTCAGAAACCTGTTTTTGTGCTCCATCACAATCACAAACCCTTCCTTCCTACCAAAGTAATCACTGTCTGACTTTGATAGTCATCGCTTTTTTGTATTTCTTTAAATGCACCCCTAGACATGATAATTTAATCTTGTTCTTTAATTTTCTTTCTTTGTCTTACAATTCATTTATTGAAGAACTCAGCTGTTTGACTTGTAGTGTCCCACACCATCTGCATTTGGCAGATTGCACACTTACGGTATATTTCAACAGGCTTCTTTGTCCTCTACTTCCTTTAAATTGGCAGTTGGATCCAGAGACTGGATCAGACTCAGGTTTGATGCCTTTGGTAAGATTACATATTATTATGAATGTATGTATTTAAACATATTTAATGGGCTTTAGTCCATTCTAATTATCCTTATTGAAACTCAAATTGTCCCATCTTTGGCCACTGGGAGCCTCTTCAAGTTGGATCCTGGGTCCTTTGGAAATGACTCCAGAAGTCTTTAATAGTTCTTCTGCTCTCTAGTATGACAAAATATTTCATGCTCATTCTATATATTTCCTGTCCCAGACCTAGAATCACCCATTTCTCCAAGAAGCCCTTGTTTCTTTTAGTGGGACTTGGTATTTCAAGACCATAAGGATGATTATTGCTACTGAAAAGACCCAGGAAATAAGATATGTATAGGGAGAGTTCATACTAATGATAATTACTCATTTTACCCACATTACACACACATTCCTAAATAATGCTAAAATTACCATCATCAATATACTGAAAAGCTTAATTTTTGCTGATGTTCTCCCCATACTCTCCTCTAGTTTTATAGTAATTTTGTATCAATATTTCAGAATACAAATCCATTTCAGAGTATACTCTCTTTTAATCTTGTGTTAGATGTCAATTTATTGACTCTCAGCTCCAAATCTTTGCTTGCTCTGCAATAATGAAACCGAACTCTGTAAATACTCCAGCCCCAGCCAGTTTGACATTAGGCTTTGTTAACAGAAGGCACTGGGGTGGGGGGGTGCCATTGGAGTAGGAAGTGGCTTCTCTTTCTGATTCTCATGACTTATCTCCTTGGGCTCCTGCAGGCTGCATGGCTCCTTTCAGCAGTGCCCAGTGGCCAGCAACAAGCAGCAATTTCCCATGGCAGCTTCCCCCGGTACAGTTTCTTGGATGGTTTCATAGTGTGCTACTGGCAAAGCACCTTCCTGTAAGTGGATTTTCTGGGCACTTTGCAGTGAATTCTGAAATAAAGGTACCTCCATGTGGATAGTTTCTCCCAGCACTCCAAAGAGATTTCTTCACTGAGGCCACATCTCAGTGAACTTCTTTGCCCACCAGTGAGCCACAGTCCATGACCTTTCCAGAAATGAGGGGCTGGATGCAGGTGGGGGTGCTCGCCCTTGTCCACTTTATTTCAGTCCCAGAAGTGATGGCTTCTCCCTATATCTACTATTTATTTGTGGTAGGAGTTCTCTTTGCCTCTTGCTAGCTAACCATCCTTTACTCCAATTCCATGAACAAGTCTTTACAGTAAATGTTCTCTGTTCAAACTACTGTGATTTTTCTCTCTTAACTGGACCCTGACTGAAACAAACCTTCATTTAGCTTTGTTCTAGATGTAATTACATATTTAATGTTCACCAGCTGTCCTTCTGTCATTGTCTGTCAGTCATTTTAGTCACTGAGCTTCATTCTCCTAGTAGATTACACAAGAGAAACTCAAGTGAATAACACTGAGTTCTTTCATTTTGATAACAAATTAGTTTATGTTTTTATACTTCAGTCAGTTTTGCTGTATACAATGTCCTTGGTTCTCATTTTCTTTCTTTGAATATTTTAAATGTTTCACCATTTTCTTCTCCTATGAAGTGTTAATGCTGAAGTCTTATGATAATCCAATATTCTTTCTCTCATAAATTACTTTTTTTTGCCTAAATCACCACTTTTCAAAATGTAAAGTCTAGTAATTTTACTAGAATACATCTTGTTGTTCATTTTCAATATTTTCAGATATACAGTATGCTCTTTCAATATGGGGTTTCATATATATATGAACATACATATGAAATATATATATATATGTGTATATATATTTCTTTTTCTATTTCAGGAAATGTTCTCTTGATTATAATGTATTATATTTGTTCTGTTAGCTGAATTGATTTTCTTTATCAGAGATCAGAGACTCTTTATCCATATGTTGGATCTTCTTTGCCCACTTTCAATATTTATCATTTGTCACAAGTCATTTCTATGTCTCTGTATTTCTTTTTAACTTAAGAAAATCTCATTTTCAAATTCTAGTTCTCCTTGGGCACTATCTATTGTGTTTGTTTACTATTGTTTCTTCTTGTTCAGCATTCTTTTCTGAAATCACATTTATTTCTAATTCTTTCCCAAGTTCTGTGACTTTGTTTCTGAGTTTTTCTTATTCTGAATTTTCTGCTTCAGGTCTTATATTATTTTATCAATACCTTTACAGTTTTGATATGATTTTTTCAACACTGGCACTGTACAAGTTTTGCATCTGTGGCTTGATCCCACCCTCTTGTATTTGGCGTTTGTAGAGTTATCTGTCATCTACTTTTGTTGTAAATGTTGTTCCATGCATTTTTGGTTTCTCTAGCTACTCTGTTTTTATGTGGGGATTCATGGAGATTCAAAATTCATGTACTGCCATCTTTCCAGAATCCATTTATATTTTTGACTCATGGATACTCTCTATATTCCTGAGACTTCAATCCTTAGCTGAGTGTGATGGAAAGGGTCTAAGGTTGATCAGTGTGTTGTTTGGATTGGCAGTGGTGCATTATACCACATCCTCATTCTTGAATGATGATTTACTGGATTATAATTTTCTAGGTTGTCAATAGTTTCCCCTTAATACTATATATATTCTAATATCTTCAGCATATATTTTTATTTTTGCAAATTTGGCTTCCAGTCTAAATGTCATTGTTTTGTAGGTAGGTCATGTTTTAACAGCTACTATTAAGATCACTACATTTTTCTCTTTGTTTACATTCATCATAATGTATGTTATTTTCTCAAGACTTGATGTGCTTCTTCAATCTAAAGAGTCATCTTTCTTCAAGTCTAGAAAATAATTATTGGCCATTATTTCTCTGAATTTTGCCTCTCTTCTCTCTTTTGAAATGCCTATTAGATGCCTATTGTTGAACCTTCTTATATTCGGTAGAACCTCTGAATTTGGTTACATAAGGCAAAAAATTTTTTTTTCCTTAAGCCAGTTAGAATTAGGTTTTTTTTTTAATCACTGAAACAGAAACACTCTTACTTTTCTTAAAGGCAAGGTCAGAGAAAGAGACGTGATCCCTGAGGCTATCATTTGATTATCTGTAAACAGATATCCTTGAAACCTAAACTAGTCCTGCACTTTTTAGTTATGCAATAAATTCACTTACTTTTTTCTCCCTTAAATCAGTTGCAATTCGATTTCTGACAGTTGCAACCAAGAGTCCTGATTAATCTAAACGTCTACTATGTGGGTGGCACTGTGCCAGATGCAATATAGTCAAGTGGTATTCAAAACAAAGTCCATGTCTCCAATAAACACAGTATTTCACACTCGTTCCATGCCATCTACATTTATTTTTCCTTGCTTCTCCAGCCTCCGCCATCCAAACTTGGAATACTTGTTTAAACATTACAACTTCCTCCCAGTTGATTTTAAAACCAAATTTATAAGGGTAACCTTTCTAGCTATTGGCCACCATGATCTTCCCCTTATTTTGAATTTATATTATACTTATATTATGTCTTAAATAGGTCTTCAAGTGTTTCATCAAAGTCTTTTCCTTTAACCAAATCATTAGTTTTTTTAAGGGCTAAAGTTACACCTTTCACATTTCCCAGGTCAAAGTCAATAAGGATGCAACCTTATTGCATCCTTATTAACAAGTATACACACAGTACTTGTGGCCCCTGTAGGTCTTCTGTATGGTACTGGGGATACACATTCCTGTCACTTAATCAACTTAAGGACATAGGAAAGTATATTAAAATATAAATATATAAGGTGCCATATATATTTAGTTCAGAAGGGGAAATCATGCCTGGGCTGGGGTACTCAGAGAAGGCTCCAAAGCTCTGGGATATGAACGAGACTTGTCTTAACACAAAATAAAAGGCACCAAAGGTTGAGACACTGTGTTTGAGGAAAGGCAGTTTTGCTGTAGTAGTAGGATAGTGTCTATAGCAGTGGAAAGATTTTATGGACACAGGTTAGTTCTAAGATAAGGTCACAGTCTAGCTCGTAAATCAGCATAATCCCTCTTCCCTTCTCTTACAATGAAAATCTCTGCAGCTGAGCCACACTCTCTTATGTCCCTGTTTAGTTTGGTTATTAATTTCATAAACTCTTAAGGGGATATGTCTTGTATCATCTTCTTGAGTACAAATGGCTGAGGTTAATTGTAATGAATGCAAGCGGAAATAAGCAACAAGCCCTGTGCCCAGAGAGCAAAACAATCGCGGCTCGGTAATAGAAAAGGTGGCGCTGACCCCTGGGACCTTTCTAGGAAATCCTCTTCCACCATTAGCCATTTCTCCCGGCACAGCCTGAGTCCACATCCCATGGGATTATCTGGAGAAGCCTCCAGCCTTAAACTGCATTAAAACCTTAAGAGGTGAGGATTGAGTAGACCGTGACGGTCTGGGCCCAACGACACATAACCAAGACCTCGGAGCAACCTAACCGGTGGTCTCCCAAGCCTACGCCTGGGCCTGCAGCCCCACTTCCCTCCCCGCCCCACTCCGCTCCGCCCCGCCCCGCCTCGCCTATCCCCGCCCTGCGGGGCGGGGCTTCCGCTTCCGGTGGTGGATTGTTGACGCCTGTGGCTGCTGTGGTGGCGACGGGGGCCGTTGGGGAGGAGCCAGTGGGGGAGGGAGACGGAGCAGTGACAAGACAGAGCGGTGCTGCGGTGACTATGGCAGAGGGGCCGGAGGAGGCCCGAGGCCGCCCTCCCGGGCAGGGCGACGGCAGAGGGGACCAAGACCCGGTCCATTCTCTGACAGGCCCTCCTGCCGCCGCCGCCCCGCATTCCTGGAACGAGCCGCAGGCCGAACCCCAGTCCCCGGGCCGGCCCCCAGCCGCGGGCCTCGCGCCCACCGCGGCCGCCGCCGAGGAGTCGGAGCCACAGCTCGAGCCTGGGAAGCCCGGGGACGCGGCGTCCGGCTCCGGTGCGGAGCTGCAGGAGCCGGCGGGCTGCGAGGCGCCGGAGGCCGCGGCGCCGCGTGAGAAGCCCGCGCGGCTGAGCGCCCGCGAGTACTCCCGGCAGGTGCACGAGTGGCTGTGGCAGTCTTACTGCGGCTACCTCACCTGGCACAGCGGCCTGGCCGCCTTCCCAGCCTACTGTAGCCCCCAGCCATCCCCGCTCAGTTACCCCTCAGGCGGCGGCACCGCTGCCCCCCAGGCCGCGGCGCCAGCGCCCCTCCAGCTGGGCTATTACAACCCCTTCTACTTCCTGAGCGCCGCGGCCGCCGGACCTGACCCGGGAGCGGCTCCGGGCATCACTACCCCTGCTCCAGTCACGGGCCTGGGACCCCGGGCTCCTCAAGTGCAGGGATCCGTCCAGGCAACCCCAGTGACGCGAGTGGGATCCGCCGCCCCTTCGCGAGCCCCGAGCGAGAACGGGCGCCAGGCAGGTGAGAAGCACGATCGGGAAGTTGGGCGGAGCAGAAGGGTCTTCAGGGAACTACCGGAGAGGGTGGAAGACGGGGTGGGGGGTAGAACAGGCGCGCTTTTTACGCGTGTAACTGCTGCTGCTCCGACTGGTGTGTCTCCGCGTGCTTCAGCTGTGGTTTGCCCAGGCCTCAGAAGTATATGTAGAAAGGCTATAGTTTCTTCTTCCTTTAGACCTGGCGTTCCGAATTGATTCCCTACTCCACAGACTAGTCATTTCTGCATGTAAAGAAATCTCTGCTGTTCAGGCCATCCTCAGGATTTCCACGCTCTGGAGAATGAGATCCAAAGCTTAATTCTCAAATAGCAAACCTCCATGGTGGGGTGGGGGTAGGGTGGTTGGTAATGCTGGAAATAATCCAGACGTGGATTTATTATATATTATCTACATATTGTAAGATATATGATTAATGTAATTGTATATTACCCATACATTAGGGACACTGAATCTGATGGACATAAAAGATTTACATGAATACAAATGGAGTTGTGAACTTTTGACTGGACCCTGGCTGAATGATCTTGTATATTGTCTGTTTACTTCTGTATGGGAATTAGAATATTTTGCATTACACTTTTTATTAGTTTTTTTTTTTTTTACTTTATTCAGCCACAGATGTGTGGGACAAGAATTAGTTGTTTCTGAATTTGATCCCATTCAGAATTTAGGACGGCAGATTTAATAGAAAGCAAGACAAACTAAATAGGAGGTAAAGTGAGGAACGAGGTACTGATTGTCTATACTTAACCTTGAGTTTTACTAAAAAACATTTAATTCTGTCACAGGCTTTTATGATCCCCTGCATTCTCATTTGAGTACCTAGTGAAATGCATCGAGTATCTTCAAGTTATCTGTGAAATCATTTTTTAAACATTAAGGAGGTGAAAGCAAACTTTAAACTCTGTAAATAGTGTAGTAGTATATTTTAATAACATGTACTGTTGGTGGAGTCAATGCCAGTGATTGTTGCAAGATTGTAATTTTTTTTCTTATTATTAGCACCTTGTACCTTGACTTGACATTCATTCCATTTATTTACTTAGCTTGGGTTCCCAGGCCTATGTGAAGTGATTAGTTTTACTAACATTTTTTTTTTTTTTTACAGGCAGAGAGTATGTTATTCCATCCTTGGCCCACAGATTTATGGCAGAGATGGTGGATTTCTTTATTCTCTTTTTTATAAAAGCTACCATTGTTTTAAGCATTATGCATCTCAGTGGAATAAAGTAAGTGAATAAGGCCATTTGCAGAAAGGTTTTAATGTGTACTGTCTAGAGATCTTGTTTCATTAAGTTTTCTTCATGCCTGCAAGTGACCATATGGATAATTGATGACCAGTCTCATGACTTCTTTATAGGAGCTTTGTCAGTTTTCTTTTTTTCCTTGTTGGGTTTAAGAAATAACTTCAAGAGAGAGAAAAACACTCAATAAATTTTGCAAGATCTGTGGGAATCTCACCTACTAAAAGTAGGTAAAAGGAGCCTCCAAACCTAGTTTGATTTTATTTAACTATTTTCTTAAGCCAGGAATTCATTTCCCTCTTACTAGGAATAAAGAGCTTTTGGTAAAGATGAACTATTATAATCACCTAGATGGCATTTCCAAATGGGATTACTTATATTATCAGGGAATTCTCAAATGAACTGCAAAGTGATCCATTTATGTAAATAATCCTTTCAGATTAGTAATCAGAATAGCAATTACCACTTGCTAAGTACTTTCTACATGCTAGGCATTGAACTCACCTCTTTATGTGGGTTCTTATTTAATGTTACCATTATGACACTATGAGCTGTAGAGATTAATACCTCCACGTTATAGAGATTGGTATTTGGATTTACAAGCCCAGAATTTACAAAGTTACAAAGGTAGTAAGTGACAGAGTCAAGATACAAACCCATGTAGTCAAATTTCAGGGCCCTTGCCAGGATCCTGAATGTTTGTTCCTGTGATCCCTCCCTTTCCTGCCCCTACATTTCCAATCAAGTACCTTCTATCTGTTGAATATGCTGAATAGCCTTCAGCCCAGATCATTTCCTCTTCACTGTCAGACCATTTTTCATCATCATTGCTTCTCCCTAGTCCAGTTACTGTCATCTCTTGCCTGGATTATAGCAAAACTTCAGATATCTCAGTCTCCTGTTTTATCTCAATCCAAGTTTCTGATACAAAACTAAAGAGATCATAAATTGATTCTGCTCTTCTGCCTTAAAACCCTTCAGTGGTTTCTCATTGCTATCAGGATAGTCTTGTTTTCATGAGGTTTAACAGATGCCCTTCTTAATCATGATCACCTGTCATACTTAATATTTGAGCCATACCAAACTGCTTACAACAGCTTCCATCACACTCTTGCTCCAAGGCTTTCTCTCGTTAGTCCCCATCTCTGACTTGTTCCTTACTGGTCTGGCTAACTTCATCCTTCAAATCTCAGCTTAAATATAATTTCTGGGAAGCCTTAACAAGTTAAATGTACCTGGTGTGTGTTTCTGTAGCACATTATGGTTTCCTGTCACATACTCTATAGTCTCCTATTTCATATCCCACTTTATTATTACTTATTGTTCTGCTTTCCCTGATTGGTTAGAATCTCCATGAAAGTAGAGACGATGTTGAATTCGCTCACCATTATATCTCCAGGGCTCTAGTAAAGTGCCTGCTTATTTGTTGCATAAACTGGTGAATGTTTTGTGAAAACTAGATGGTTGGAAACCTAAAGATTAGTTTAGAATTTCAATTAAAGTTATGACTTACACTAATGGAAAAAAATTAATGCAACTGCTCTGATAACTAATTCTTATAACCCAAAATTATTATTTTGTGTAGGGATATCTCTAAGTTTGCTATGCATTATATAATAGAAGAAATAGATGAAGACACATCAATGGAAGACTTGCAAAAAATGATGGTTGTGGCTCTTATATACAGATTATTAGTTTGTTTCTATGAGGTAAGCTACTAACTTCAGCAAATATTAATATTTAATTATCTAATTTTAGATTATCAGCCTGCCAAAAAAGTAACAAAAATGTATCATTTTTCATGTATTTGTCAAATGTCTCTGTTTTTCTATGTTTTCCCCCCCAAATTTTCTTTAATTAACATTTTTGAAGTTAAAAAAAAAACTTTCTGAGTGGAGACAATGTTATAATTTCTTTGTAATATATTTCATTCTTGTGGTCCAAAAATATACTTGTAAATTGGTTGTGGAACTTGAAATGTATTTTTCCATAGAAACAACTTGCTAAAAAATGGGATCATCAAGAAATATTACAGTAGACATTTGGTGGTGTTAGAGACTTGCAGAAATGCATTCAGTAACCTGAGTATTCTGTAAAATTCTTTCAACTTGAAAATTTTAAAACATGAATAATATGGCAGGAAAACTTACCTTTCAGATTGGTATAGCTGAGCTAGTAAGTTATTTTTAAATTATCCTCTTTCCTTAGATAATTTGCATTTGGGGAGCAGGCGGAGCTACCCCAGGAAAGTTCCTGCTGGGGCTTCGAGTTGTGACATGTGATACATCAGTGCTTATTGCACCAAGTCGGGTTTTAGTGATTCCTTCCTCAAATGTTAGCATTACAACGTAAGTTCTTTTCTTAGCTTAATCCACTTATGTACTTAAGAAAATAATAAATTTTAAGTATAGTAATCAATATAATTCATAAGTTATATACCATTTGACATAGTATTTTTGGAATGTTGGTATTTTTTCTTCATGGCATGAAAAAAAAAAGACTTACATTTATTAAGTTTAAAATAGTTTGAGTGCTTTTCAATTATATGATTGTAGACCACTTTTCGGTATACATTTTCAAGAGAATGACTTCATGAAATACAAATCACGATAATGAGAGGGTGATTTGGGTGTTGATGCTATCTATCTACCTTAGTACTCCATGCCTAGCTTTATTAATTCTCTAGATCTGTGGATATTGGGTCAGTTACTGATCTGCTGTGAGACTCCATTTGGTATACCTGTCATTATCCCATCTTGAATAGGCAATAAGAGTTTTGATAACTATGCATGCATGCCCCTCCCCTTAAGTGACAGAGCTTGTAATACTCCCAGTACTTATGGCTAGCTGTTGGTATCTGGTTCTGGGGGAAGGTACAAATAGGGGTAATGGATGTTGTGGAAGTAACTAGGTGATAATTATTGAGCAAAACAGGATACTGGTAGAAATTGCTGCCAGAATGATTCATAGCTATATTGTTATATAGAGAAACATGAACAAGGGACTCTAGAAGCCTTGGTTTTGCTGACATCCTCAAAATTTCCTTACAATTTTGTGCTTATAATAATCCTGGCTACTACTTTTAATGAATCAATAATGGCTAGTTTATTGAGCACCTCTTATAAACTATTAAAAACACTGCATGTGTATTTACCAATTAAATCCTAACCTTATAAGATAGGTACTGTAGGTACCATTATTCCCTTTTTACAGATGTGGAATACAACTAGTGATTGGTAGAAAATGGATCTAAAACCTACTAGTCTGGATTCATACTCCGCATTCTTAGTCACTGTGCTTTTTCTGTAGCCTCTCAGTGCACTAAAAGGCAGAAATCTAACATTAGTAGGATAATTCTCCATACTAAGCTATTCCCGGAAGTTTTATTTTAAAGCTTTTTTAAATCACAGGATCCCACAAAGAAAGAGAGCTGATAAAAGAATATACAGTAATTTAAAATGCTAGTGCTTCATAGAGGGTAGAAAATGGTACTACAGTAAACATACTCAATTTAGAAGGCACTAAAAACACAGGAATGAGTGACTATAGAAAAGGTAAGTAAAGACAGTATTTTCTCCTGGCAAAATACTATTGGGTTGTCAGAAAAGTCATGACGTATTTTGTTTTTGTTGCAAAAATGCGTCATGACTTTTCCGACAACCACTAGGAAATGCTATAAACTTTAGTTCACATATTACTGCTTTTCACATGTAAGTTCCAGTCTTACTTTTACGTTCATGAAGTCTTTAGAACTAGCCAAGATGGTTTGATCATAACATTTGAAAATAACTCAGCTATCAAAGGTAAAACATTCTCTCAACTGTACCTTGAATGTTTTAAATACATATTTTGACTTGATAGAATACTGTTCATCTATATGTGGTTGGTATACAATTTATCTCATATTTTTTACTTTGTTTTATTTTTAGATCTACTATACGAGCTTTGATCAAGAATTTTTCTATTGCTTCTTTTTTCCCTGCTTTCATCACACTGCTGTTTTTTCAGCATAATCGAACAGCCTATGACATTGTAGCAGGAACCATTGTGGTAAAAAGAAATGGGGTCAGATGATGCCCCCTAAAACCCTGAATTCCATACTCTCTGGAATAATGACAAGACTAAATTATGTATCAAGGCCATCAGTATCCTTGGGTTACATTCATTGATGATTTAGAAATTAAAGCAGTCGCTCCAGTGCGATACAGGTGGCTGTTCTGAAAGTATTGCTTTTACTTGAATGCCAAAGAACTTTTCCAGAAGAAAAACCTGTTAAATTCAAGTGTTAAAATTTCAGATAAAAAAGGCAAGTGGTTTCATAACCAACAATGGACAATATATGCTAAGATCTAAGGCATTAGAATTTGCTGAAAGCATTTTCAGCTTTGAAATCTCCAAATGAAACTTTAAAATTAATTTATTTTGGTGTATCCCAAAATGATGGAAAATGTCCAGTTGTGTTTTGTAAACACATTATTCATCTTTTAGTTAACACTTCTTGTGGAAATTATTATCTGTGCTTTTTGGGGTAGTGGGGACACAAATTTAATAATTCACTTATCTCCCATTCCAGGAGATAGTTAGCTATAAGAGAAAGGGGCAAGTGAGGCAGGCCTACTGACTCCCTTACCTAAAGTTTTAAAATCTGTATTGCAGTTTACTGTGGAGTGATGTAACTTTACAACTGTTCTTAATGCTTAATATGTATTTTGGGGCAAGTATTGCATGATGATAAAGTACTGTCATTGCTATATTAACATTGATTTTTTAAAAGAAAAGGTTAGTGTTTGCTTTTAATAAGGGGGAGTAAATTTTCACTGTAAATTTAACTTAAAATTTATGTGCAAGTATTTTCAGTGCCCTAAATCAAACTATAACTATGTGGGGGGAAATTACTTTTCATCAAACTGTTGGATATTTACTGTAAAACAATATTCCCAGTATGTGTACGCATGAAGAAAGTATTAGTGCTTTTCAGTGTTCTGAATATTAACTTCTCTTTACACACAGGATATTCACATACCAGTTTCCTTTTATATTTTATATAGTTCCATAAATTCTGAAACATCAAGGAGTTAAATAATCTTAGTATTTCATGATTAAATACTACTGGTAGCCTGTGAAATATTAGCAATTTTCCCAGTATGAACTGTTCTAAAACAAGGAAGAGCAGCATTTCCAGACATTATTCTAAGTTCTTTGGTTCTGTGGGCCCAAAGCTTATATTTGGGGCCTGCCAGGGATGATGATGTGAGGGAAACATTAAGCAAAGTAAGACTTTATGTATTGCCATTTTAATTTATTCTTCTATGGAGCAAAGTTGTGGAGTTGCAAGTGTGTGCGTGCTTTTGTTAGATGGCCCAGTTAGCTGTGTTGAGATATACCTGAACTAAAAGTTTTGTTTCTTAGGCATTTTCTCCAACTCTGATCAATTATTTTCCAAAAAAACCCAAACAACACTAAATTGTATTGGAAAGTTCATAATTAGATTGCTTAAAGGATCGATCTAGGCTTTATTTTTGGTCTTTATTAGCAAATGCAAGACACATCTGTTATCACTGTATTAATTTTTAAAGGTTTTTCTTTGATATTTTAAAACTGTGAAAATATTCACATTTGATGGTTATGGAACCTTAACAGCATCCTTATTAATATCTTTTTTTTGTAAACTTCATAAACGATGTTTTGAAAAATAATTTTAATTAAATCCAACATCACAGAAAGCCTGTTAAGTGTCAAAGGATTAAACAGATCATTCACTTGTAGCCTCTGGGAAGATATTTAAAGTGTTATGGTCCTTCAAAGTATAAATAAATAAAACTAAATTTTTATTAGACTAGAAATTAGGGAATGTTACATAAGCTTACCAACCTAGTAGTGTATACATTATCATTAATGTATACATTATTTTTGCTACTGATGAGGAATTCAAGTTGAAATCTCTTTCAGTCATTTAACTTTGGAATTTATCTTTAATGTATTATGTCCTCTGAGATTATTGGATGGTTTACCCTTTAGGCTATTTTTATTTATATACTATTTTTGTTTAAAACAAAAGCAAACAAGTAGTCCAGTTTAATGGTATACTTAAAATAATGCACATTTTCTATAATAAGTCATTCAGATTAATATCTATGTAGGTTCATTTAGAGCCATCTCAGGATTCAAATTATACTATATTGCCTATAAAACTCAAGTATTATTAATTTGACTGCTTTTACAACAGAAAATCCAAGTCTTATTTATGAATTCATCCCTAGTAACATTTTAGTTCCAAAATTATTGAAAAAAAAACGAAAAGACATGATGGGGAAGAAAAGGGAGCCACATTTTTTTCTCTTGAGGTTGTGGGCCATAGAGAATCCCTCTCTTTTCAAAACACTTTTCTATTTAGTATGTCATTTATAGAAATGCTGGTTTTCTGTGTCAAAGTATAATTTTCATGCTGAAGCTCTAGCCTAAAAAGGCAAAAAGAAAGTTGTCTTCATAGTACAAACAGTATTCGTCACTTTTATGACATAAGGGAACAAAAATTAGGCATGAAGCTGAGTGAGAATAGTATTTCAATGAACAAGCCCTAAATCCACATAACAAGCAGTTAACATAGGCATCGAGAAAATCTCAGTACCCATTACTAAAGGTAGCCTGAGTGGCAGTGCCCCTTGACAAAGTCTGACATACTAATATTCATGCTGGGCCTCGGGTAGGTAAGTGTAAGTGATGGCAAGGCAAGCCTTGCATTTAAACTAATCTGTGACTAGAGAAATAAAGCCAACACTTTTTGGGACAGTAAGCCTTAACTTTAAAACATTGCCCAAGTGATACTTGTGTTGGACTGGTTCAGAAGTTATTTCTACCTAAACATTTACCCTCCAGTTTTACCCAGATGTTTAGGGCTGGAAAAAAATGTATTATATTTGAGGGCCACTTTGTCTAAATTGTGTTTTATTGTTTCAAATGGTAGTAAAAATTGTTTTAACTCTTAAGATTTGTTCCCTTAAGCGACTTGTTTGGGTATTTCACACTTATGCATAAGTATTTCCAGCCTAAAGAAGGTAGAAATGAGTTAAAAATTAAACTATTTGCTACTTAGGAATAAAGGGCTTTTTAAGAGAATAGGGGCATTAAATATTTTCATTCCATACTTACCCCTATTAGAACAGGCTATTGTTTCTTTTGAAGAATATCTCTCAATAACAATATTCCTAAAATCTGACCAGTATCATTTCAGTTACTTGCCGTTCCCCACCCCCCATACATAAGGTCATAATCTTTACAATATGTATTTGCCTGGGTGAAGTTCCTCATTTCAAACTGTATATGTGTATTTCCTTGCAGTTCATTATAGTAGGGCTTGACCCACAGACAGTATCTGATAGCCTGCCTATAAATAAACTCAGTATTCTATTTTTAGTAATTTGTATGCCACCAATTTGTACTTGTCTCAATAAATACTTGGTCACCAATGATTTTGTGTTTTGTCCATTTCTTTGAGAAACTTTGCTCTAGAATTTCCTAAAGGAGACTTTATTCCAAATACAGCTTTTCTAGCATCCTCTGCCTTCAGAAGAATGGCTACAGCAGTCAATTAGAGTGCTTTCAGAAATAGAGGTCTACCCAAACAATCACCCACTTTTTGGGATATATTCTTTTAGCAAGTCACTCAAAAGTTACCCGTGGATGACTATAATGTTAAACTAATCCTGTCCTTAAAGTTGTTAACCCATCACAACCATCATGCAAGATGTTAAGGACCTGTATTATACATAAGGAACCAGAAATTCAAAGTCATAGCTAGTAAATGACTCAGTTGGGCAATTTAAACTTAGTTCTGATCTTTGAAGCATTTCCTATTCTAACTTTTACAGACAAAATACAGAGGACTGGATACAAAACAGGTCCTCAAAAAGGACAGAGATAATACTTAAATGTGGTTAAATGATGGCCTGGTCTGAGTCTTACAGACGATGTGCTATTACGAGCCTAGCCACAAACTACACATTATGGAAGTACAGTGGACTTTTAAGGTAAGTTTATGATGGAAATGAAGGCTCTGACATTGTCATAGAACTGATATGTGTAGCTAGACCCAACAACACACCCATTTCCTCTATAACAAATTTGTCAATTCCCATTAAACCCACAGGCTAACCTTTGTAAAATTTCCAGAGTTTCAAACTTCTAACAGGCCCAGGAAATGATATAGTCATGTGCTGCACAATGATGTTTCGGTCAACAATGGATCACATATATAAGGGTGGTCCCATAAGATTATAATGGAGCTTAAAAATTCCTGTCACCTAGTTGTAATGTCATATAGCACAATGCATTACAATTGTCTCAAGTATTCAGTACAGTAACATGCTGTACAGGATTGTAGCCTAGAAGCAATAGGCAACAGTACCATACAGCCTAAGTGTGTAGTCGGCTATACTATTCTAACTTTGTGTAAGTGCAGTATATGATATTCTCCTGACGACAAAACTGTCTAATGACACATTACCACCATCAAGCGACGCATGACTGCTAATACAATTAAAGCAAATACAAATTCTTCCTAGACTAAATCAGGAACTGTAAGGACTAATTATAAATTGTTAAAATTAGTCCAACACTTTTATTTCAAATAATAAAATCCTAATTAAACAGTTTCAGGATAGAATTTGTAACAAACATTAATAAGCAGCTAGCTTAAAAACAAATTTTTCCACTGCTGGAATTGTACTTTATCTTTCTTAATGCCTAAAATCATAAATTACTCAAAAACCACCTAGCAAATTTTCCAGATGCTTATTTACTGATGCAGATTTTTTGAACCCTATCCAGGCCCAGTGAATGAATCTCTGATGCAGTCCTAGAATACACATTTGACACATCTCACTAAGTTATACTGATGTACATTCAGTGATGACTACTGACCCTCTTGTCTATCGACCAAATTATATAAACATACCTGATTATTCAATAGTGCTTTATTCAATAGTGCTGCATATGGCTTTCCTCCCTTCAGAGCTTTTCAGTTAACCCTCTGTCGGGCGCAACTGATCTCACAGATTCATTGAACACACATTTTCAAATATCTAACAGTTATGTATCGTGACTCATCACTTCCGTATCTCCCTGCTCTACTGTAACATATTGCCAGTAGTGTCTGTGACTTAGTAAAGATGTATTTCATAGCGGCATCTTTGTGTGCATTAAATCTGTGAGATCAGTTGCGCCCGACGAAGGGTTAAAAAGAATTCCTCATCGGTCCATTATGAGAAGTAGGCATTTACTGTTTTCTTCCCGTGTTTCCCCGTCTTCCCCGTCTTCCGCGAACAGCCCTCAATTTTCACTTGTGTATGGAGCATGTAACCCTGGTCTGCCCAAGCCTACTATCTCAGCTACAGGGAATAGATCAGAAGTGGGCCTGTAGCATCAGCCAGTTCAATAAGAAGATACCTCTGATAGGCTTCAGTAGGGACAGTTTGGAGGTTAGAGCTGCTACTGTACGTGTATTCTAGAGCATTGCCACGTGCAGCCTGAGAATTACAGCCAATGAAATGGAAAAAACAAGTCTCAACTCCTGAATGCAACCCTAGACTTCAGTTTTGGGGGCCAGATTTCGTTTTTCAGAATAGCCACCTTAAGTAAGGAAGTCGCTTGTTTAAAAAAAAAAGTACTAAATAATGAAAACATTATTTCTAGCACATTTCTTATGAAAAATCTGTCACAGAGTATAAAGCCTAATATTCCCATCCAAAAGGACCTAGAGAATGGCTAAGAATGAACAAACCTGCATTTAGTTAAGCATTGACTTCACAGCATTAGAAGCACAAATTTCCAGAGGAAATTCAAGATGCCTGCTTCCTTCGGTAAACAAATTAAAATTACAACTAAATTATAGAACAATCAACCTGGAGAACCGTCTGGCTGAAGTTTTATAACTAAGAATATAAAGAAGCCATGTCAAGACTGGTAGGAGGGGCAGAGACGAGGAACTGCATAACCCCAAACCTCGATGTGATGATTGATAACTCAGAGGGATATCTTAGCCATGAAGGTTACCCCAGAGGACTGAGGTACCCCATCCTCCCACAACAGGCTCTCCAGCCTGGAGTACTGGTTTTGGGGAAGAAGAGTCCCAATATCTGGTTGTGAAAAACAGTGGGACAGAAGATGGTGGGAAACCCAGGCATCCGCTTAAAAGGGCCTGCACAGACTCTCACTCCCAGGCACTTACTATGGGCTCCAGCGGAGAGACAGTAAGTCAGGGGGTGTCAGAGACATAAGGTGGGCAGACTGAGTTGACTGTGGGAGGAGGGTTGGATAACTTCCCTGTGACGGGTCCACCTCCTGTGCAGCCAGTAGGCTGGCACCATCTTTTCTGTGTTGAGCCCTCCTCCTACGTTTACAGTTGAATCTGAATCTGATTGGTCTGGTGAGCTTCACTGCTCTACCCTGCTGACTCAGAGACCCTGCCCCACTCAACTCCCCCACCACAGGAGGCACTTTCTCTGAGAGCAGCTAGCCTCACCCACATTGCACTCTTTCTTGGAAAACTATGAGAGTCCCAGGATCCCAGGTGCGTGGTAAGACCTCAGTGTGCTAAGATATTAGTGGAGTAGCTCCAGGCTCAGCACTGGCACCAAACCAGAATTTACATTAACCTGGTGACCACAACTCTTCCCACTCTAGTGACTCTATGAGGCCCTGCCTGGCTTTATCAGTGGCTGAACCTTTAGGGGGCTAGCAGCTGGTAGCAGGCCTGAGTGTGTCCTGGCATTTCGCAGAGCTACCCCAGGCCTGGTTCTGGTGGCAGATGTCCTTGGTTTGCAGCATGGCCCCCCCCACGTGCCTCCAGGGTTAGCACAGGCAGAGAACAACAATGGATGGCTTTGTAACTCTTAACAGGTAGTCCCCAGCTGGTCACAGGCAAAAGGTGACCTAGGCCTGCACTGGAACCCTTCACAAGAGGCCCCAGAATCAACATACTTGGAGGTTTGCTTCAGATCACAGCAGAGCACCACCCAAATAGCCCCACAAGAGGCATACCCCAAAGGAGGCCTCAAGAGGCACCAGAGCCTGCCAGGGCAAATCCCACTCAGTGGGGTAAGGCCCCATGCAGCAGGCTGTAAGCTGTGGACATGGCAAAACCCCAGAGCAAATCAGCCTGTGGGTCAATTCCACCCACTTTAAGTGCCAACAGCAACCAAGGCTCAACTACTCAGTTGTTGGAAAAGTCATAACGCATTTTTGCAACAAAAACAGAAAAACTGTCATGACTTTTCCGACACCCTGATACAACAGAAGGGCACACACAGCCCACACAAGGGACACTTCTGGAACACCCGGTGCAGGTGACCAGGGAGACTGTGCCACGAGGCACCACAGGGTACCTACTGCATAGGCCACCTGGCCAAGATTAGGGGGTGTAGCAGATCTACCTAATACAAAGAAACAGAAAGACAGCAAAAATGAGGAAACAAAGAAATACATCCCAAATGAAAGGAGAAAATTCCAAAAAAGGAACTAAACAAAATGGAAACAAGCAACCTACCAGATATAGAGTTCAAAACAATGATTATAAAGATGCTCAGGGAACTTAGTGAGAACTTCAACAAAGCAATAGCAAGTATAAGGGCCGGCCAAGTGGCTCAGTTGGTTAAGAGTTGACTTGGGAGCGCAAGCTCTGAGCAGCAGGGCCACCTGTTCGGTTCCCACATGGGCCAGTGACGCTGAGCCCTCTACAGCTAAGATGGTGAACAACAGCTCAACCTGGAGCTGGGGTGCCATGAGTGGCCTGCTATGGCATAGGCTGCACTGGGCTGCCGTGAGCTACCGTGAGTGGCTGGCGGCCAACGTGAGCGGCCATCCAATGGCTGGCAACTGACTGCCTCAGCCGGGAAGAGCGCAATGATCATAATACTGACATGGGCCAGTGAAGCAGTGTCCTCCACAACTAGACTGAAGAACCAAAGGACAGCAACTTGTCCCTTCCCCAATTCCCCAATGCTGTTCCCCTCCCTCAATTCCCCAATAAAATCTTAAAAAAAAAAATAGCAAGCATAAAGAGAGACATAGAAACCATAAAAAAGAACCAGGCAAAAGTGAAGAATAACTGAAATGAAGAATGCACTCGAAGGAATCACCAGCAGACCAGATCAAGAATACTGAATCAATGATTTGGTAACTGAAAACACCCAATGAGAACAGCAAAAAGAAGAAATAATCCAAAAAAATGAGGATAGCTTAAGAGACCTCTGGGACAACGTCAAGAGTAACAATATGCATCATAGGAGTACCAGAAGAAGAGAGAAAGCAAGAGATTGAGAACCTATTTGAAGAAATAATGACTGAAAGCTTTCCTAACCTGGTGAAGGAAATAGCCATACAAGTCCAGGAAGCGCAGAGAGTCCCAAACAAGATAAATGCAAATAGTCCCACACCAAAACAGATTATAATTAAAATGGCAAAGGTTAAAGAA